TGGCCGGGCCCAGAGAGTTGTGGTGAACGGAGTTAAATCCAGTTGGCGGCCGGTCACGAGTGGTGTCCCCCAGGGCTCGGTGTTGGGGCCACTCCTGTTTAACATCTTTATTGATGATTTAGACGAGGGGATCGAGTGCACCCTCAGTCAGTTTGCAGATGACACCAGGTGGGTGGGAGTGTTGATCTGGAGTGTCGAGGGTAGGGAGGCTCTGCAGAGAGACCTGGACAGGCTGGAGCCATGGGCTGAGGCCAACTGGAGGAGTTTCCATAAGGCCGAATGCCGGGGGCTGCCCTTGGGCCACAGCAACCCCCAGCAGCGCTACAGGCTTGGGGAGGAGTGGCTGGAGAGCTGCCAGTCAGAGAGGGACCTGGGGGTGTTGATTGACAGCCGGCTGAACAGGAGCCAGCAGTGTGCCCAGGGGGCCAAGAAGGCCAATGGCATCCTGGCTTGTGTCAGCAATAGCGTGGCCAGCAGGGACAGGGAAGGGATCTGACCCCTGTACTCGGCACTGGTGAGGCCACACCTCGATTCCTGTGTTCAGTTTTGGGCCCCTCACTACAAAAAGGACATTGAATGACTCGAGCATGTCCAGAGAAGGGCAACGAAGCTGGTGAAGGGTCTGGAGCACAGGTCATACGAGGAGCAGCTGAGGGAACTGGGGGGGTTTAGTCTGGAGAAGAGGAGGCTGAGGGGAGACCTCATCGCCCTCTACAGCTACCTGAAAGGAGGGTGCAGAGAGCTGGGGATGAGTATCTTTAACCAAGTAACAAGTGATAGGACAAGAGGGAATGGTCTCAAGTTGCACCATGGAAGGTTTAGACTAGATGTCAGGAAGCATTTCTTTCCAGAAGGCGTTGTTAGGTGTTGGAATGGGCTGCCCAGGGAGGTGGTGGAGTCCCCATGCCTGGAGGTGTTTAAGAGTCGGGTCGACACTTAAGAGTTGGGTCGCTGAGGGATCTGGTATAGTTGGGAACTGTCAGTGCTAGGGTAATGGTTGGACTAGATGATCTTCAAGGTCTTTTCCAACCTAGATGATTCTGTAAAGATCATCCATTCTACAAACACTTCCATGCTCAGTGTTCTTGTGTTTGAGGTGGTTTCAACCAATTTGTCTAATTTAGTCTTGAACAAATGCTTTTGGTTTTTTTTCTTCATTCAGTCAAGGGATCAGAGAGTGATCCATTTCTTTTGCTTACTGCCCCTATTTGCCACCACCCAGGTCTCATATCTTCTCTCATCTGCAGAATTGTGCATTTGCCTTTGAGGGGCAAAGATAGTTTTCTGTTCTGCCCATTTCCTTGACATTGTCCTGTGACCTAAAATTTAGTGATACAGAAAATGTGCCACCCTAGGGAAAGTTCAACACATGAGAATATGGCTCTCATGAGAGGATAAAGGGAAATAGCCAGGTTCCATTTTAAACATAATGTCCTTACAATGCAGATGTACTGGACACATATGGTACTAAAAATTTTTCTGGGTTTGACTGGATTCTTTTTATGCTTGATAGTTGTTCTTTATAGTTTTTAGACTACTATTTGCCTTAAAGGAATGTGTAATGTATTTTAAAATTGCTTTAATAAATGGTTTTATCTTTGTTAGCTGGATTATTAAGTTGAAAAACTGTAATAAACTTGATTAGTTTTGGAAGTCAGTGGAAACTTGGCCATTTGAAACTCTAATCCTATTAATTAGATCATGATTGGATTAATATTTGCAGTGCAGTAGTGTTTAAAAAGAAGTGCTGGTCTCTTCAAAGAAAACTGCATAAGTAAACTGCCAAGTGGTTTTGGTGGTTTATTAGCTTGCTTCTAGAAATATGTGGCAGATAAAAGGTATTAAAACAATACTTACCTTCCAAAAAATACAGTTCTTTTCTGTTGTTGTTTTTTCTTTCTTTTAATTTAGGATCCCGAATAAAATCTTTTTTTGTCAAGAGGAATATTTTGGTTACAGAAAACCTCACATTGCAGTTGGTTTTGTTGTTGTTAATTGGGCTGCTGTTTTAGAGCAGAAAATTGCTGCTACTGCAAGTAACTGTGAAGTATCAGCCTGTTCAGAGTATTTCTGCATGTAGATATAAAAATAAAGATCAGTATTAAAAGAGAAAACAAACTAAACAGAGAGACCTAAACACAGTCCCTTGTTTACAAATAAAATTAAATATACTTTTCTTCAGCTGAGATCATCTACCATTTCTTAAAAAAACAGACAGATTGAATGACTTCAAAACACCTCTTAGAAAAGAAGTGTAGAAGAATGCAACAAAGGTATTTCTACACAGATACATGCAGGTAAATGAAGTGTTATAATATTATTGGGGCAGTTTGTGTGTTCTGCAAGGAAAACATTAGAATGATAGAAAAAATAAGAACTCCCCATATAAGAGAGGAGGGTTGTACCTCTGAAGCTGATAGTTGGGAATACAACTGCTATCCTGTTTCATTGTCTTGCTGAAGAGAATGTAGCTCTGTGGATAGATTGTGGGTGGCTGCTTTTAATAGCCTGAGCCCTCTTAAACTCTGCAGGAAGCTTGACATTCAGTAAGATTGTATTATTGTCATTCCGTGATTGCTCCTCAGTGCAGTTAGAGCATTCAGTAAAAATGAGAAGTCCAGCTGCTAGCCTTCGTGGCCCAGGAGCATGGTACTTGAGTTTGTGTCGTTGAGAGAGGCAGAAGTGATCTTAGAAAATATGGAAACCATATAAAATAGTCTGGGGTTTCTTTGACTAAGGCAGAGGATAATTTGTGCCATCAAAGTTAGATTCTAAATCTTTGGTGGAATTGCTGGGTTGCAACTTTATGTTGAGTCTTAGGACCCATTTTCCATTTAAAGCAGGAATTTGGCTTTTATGAACAAAAGCCCTTCTTAACAGTTTTTGCTCTTTAAGTATGTCATCCTTTTTTCCCAGAATTTTTAAGTTAATTGATAAATGTATGCATTTAAATTCATTTGAAGCTGAGGCCTATTAAAAATGTATAACTTTTTTTTTTTTTGTCCTCAATGAACTTTACCATAAAGTAAGAGTCATACTTCAGATTCTCCCTATAGTTAAAATTAAATGAAAACCTATTCTCAGGCTTCCTTTGAAGAAAATAGATCATCATTTAGACTTTTTGCTTACTGTGGACTGTCAATACTAAAGGTAACATATGTCACAGATCAGCATGACTGCTCCAGAATTACTTCATCTGAGAGGGTGGGAGGAGAAGCACTGCTTTATTACAAAGCATAGTAGTTTAATGGTTTTTCAGAATGAATCAAAGCCCTTCTGATGAAGGGTCCTGGCAAAAGCAGTCTGTGCTGCTGTGTTCTGTATCCACTGCAGTAGTCACTCTTTATCATGAAGTAATCAAGTGCCACAAGGAAAAAAAAAAAAAAAAGAAAGATTGCTGGCAATAGAGTTTTCCAGGAACAATATTTTGAATCTAGTTTATCTATTGGATTTACCAGATAACTTAAATGAAGATTTATTACTAACTAGTTGACCCATAGTTACACAAAATGAAAATGTGCTTTTGCAACCTGAAATTCTTGCTCGTTTTTTATTCATGCAAAAGGAAATTTTGAATGAGTGTATTGCCAGAGTAAAGCTCAGGAAAATTCAGTAAAAAATGACACGTTTCTTACAGACACCAGTTTTGACTTTCTCATCATCAGAATTAAAAATTCAAAAAGATAAAATTTCTTTTCTGTTTTGGCTTGGTATGGTGTTTGTTACTATGTTGATTATGTAACTGTAGCTATGTCTTCGAAATTCCTTTAGCAGGCAGTTCCTACAATAGTTTAAAAATGTCTTTATCTTGGTCTAGCTCCATGTGAGAGTTCTGTTTATCCTTGTGCTTTGTTACATCCAACTGGGAATACAAAAAACCTTTTCTTACATAGTAGCATGTGATGATTTTTTTGTTAAGTAATTTCAAATTGGGATTGTGGGCCACAATTTGCTATGAGGACACTACTCCATAAATAATCTTTTTCAGGAGTGGAGAACATTCAGCTTTTAACTTGAAGCTTTCCTGGCAGTAAGGAAATGTTTTCTACCTAAACCTCACTCTGACTTATTAGAATAGTTGGGGGCCCCTTAGCATGGAAAATCAGAAATGTAGATATAGATAAATTGTAAATAAAGATGAGGATAAATGTAGATAAATTGTAAATATAGCAATGGAAAGTACATTTTACATGTTCCTTTTTTAACTATTGTAGAAGGATATATAGAATGCTGTCTTGAGTGATAATTCAGACTTACATAGTAGTGAAAAAGCAACGGAAGTGATTGGAAAGATAAAAGAAATTAAACCAGACAGTAAATGAATTCAAAAGGATTGAACAGTTTTGGAACTGGATACTTAAAAAGTCTGGGTGAATGAGAAGGGTTTTCTTATATGATTATACAGCAGACCAGAAAGAAGTTGCAGGGAGAGATCTGTAAAGACCTCTCAGTATTTTCTTGAACTTAATTCTGCTGGAGTTATTGCTGTAGAACCACTGTTGTATCCCTGTTGTTGGTTATATAGCTCTTTTCTTGTTGTCTAGTCCATGCACAGTTTCATGTCATTTACTCTACTTTTTTCCTATTTTATCTTAGAAGAAGAAAGTGTGGATTTTCCATGAAAATTTCATGCAAAACGATATTCTGTTTTAATTGAGATTCTTACAAGCAACTTCAGTTGACATAAATATAGATTACAAAGGGAATTATAACCTTTCAAAAGCAGGATGTATATGGGTTTGTTTTTTTTCTTGGCTAGATTCCTTGCAGGCTAAATATTGCAGTTCTCATCTTGGAGGGGGCTAAAATTTAGCCCCTTTCTGTCCCATCAAAGCAGACTGGTTTGCACAACTGTTTGGACATTATACAAATGTGTTCAATTATCCCGTAATGTTCATACACTTCTCTATTTTACTGATTTGTGTCTGCAGCAGTCTTGACAACCCATCCTTGCTTCTGAGTGCATGCTGGAAATCCTGCTCTATTCTGTATTTTCACAGGAGATGGTGAGCTCTATACTTTTGGAGAACCTGAGAATGGGAAACTGGGATTATTGCCTGAACAGCTGAAGAACAATAGAGTTCCACAGCCTGTACTGGGAATTATGGAAAAGGTTAATAAAGTTGCTTGTGGTGGAGAACACACAGTGGTGTTGACAGGTATGAAATTTAACTGGATTTTTTACAGCCCTGTAACTTAATCAGTAAAGTCAATTTGCTGTAAAGAATTTACATGCCACTGAAATGTAAGACGCTGTAGTGATCCTAACTGGAAGGCCGTTGTACATCAAGGAGGTGCAAATCCACATAACAGTTAACCTAAGTGCAGGTCTGTGCTGTGCTGCACATACAATTTGACATTCAGGCCTGTGCTGCACATATACTTTGGCTACAGGATAAATTTAGCTAATTTCAACAGAGGAGCTTACAGGCAGATCCTACTTGGTATCATTGGTTACACCACTTGCATGTCCTTGCCTTTGTCTAAAGGCAACTTGCCTTGTCTTTGTCCAGCAGCAAGTTCCCATGTGAATGTTCTTTTTATTTGACAGTAATGGAGTTGTTTTGCTTGTAAGAAAATCCTGTAAGAGCTCAAATGACCAAAATGGGGTAACCTTCCATAGGTGTAATATGTGTAGGCTGCTGTGCCTGGCTGGAGACCTATTCAATTCCACACAACTCAGGATTCCCACCATCTGAAGGAACATAAGATTATTGATGCTATCTTCTTTATAGTCTTACCTCCAATAAATAGCATTTTAAGAGATACTTTGCAGAGTCCAAGTACTTTCCTTACTGGATTTGTAACAAGCCAGCACCTCCTAGTGCAACATGGATGATTGACGTTTCTTTCCTCTAAGGAGCTTGGAAGTTGTGTTGGTGTGAGGGGGAAAATTTTAGGGGAAAGCTTCCATTCTGTAGCAAATTTAAATGACCTTGAATATTTAGGAGGGTATTTGGGAATTCACTTTTCAAGTAGCTGCCTGTTAATAGTGATGGTTTGGGTTGGAAGTTGCTTAACAGATCATCTAGTTCCAACCCCCCTGCCATGGGCAGGGACACCTTCCACTAGACCAGGTTGCTCAAAGCCCCGTCCAACCTGGCCTTGAACACTGCCAGGGAGGGGGCAGCCACAGCTTCTCTGGGCAACCTGTGCCAGTGCCTCACCACCCTCACAGTGAAGAAATTCTTCCTTAAATCTAATCTAAATCTACCCTCTTTCAGTTTAAAGCCACTACCTCTTGTCCTATTACTACAGGCCCTTGTAAAAAGTCCCACTGTGGCTTTCCTGTAGCCTCCTTTAAGTACTGGAAGGCTGCTATAAGGTCCCTCTGGAGCCTTCTCTTCTCCAGGCTGAACAACCCCAACTCTCTCAGCCTGCCCTCACAGGGGAGGTGCTCCAGCCCCCTGATCATCTTGGTGACCTCCTCTGGACTCACTCCAACAGGTCCATGTTCTTCTGATGTTGGGAGCCCCAGAACTGAATGCAGTACTCCCAGGTGGGGTCTGACGAGAGCAGAGTAGAGGGGGAGAATCCCCTCCCTTGACCTGCTTGTCACTGTTCTCTTGATGCAGACCAGGATACATTTGGCTCTGTGGCCTGCGAATGCACATTGCAGGCTCATAGTTAGTATTCCATCTGCTAATACCCCCAAGTCCTTCTCCACAGGTCTGCTCTCAATCCACTCATCACCCAGCCTGTATTTGTGCTTGGAATTGCTCCAAGCCATGTGCAGGACCTTGCTCTCGGCCTGGTTGAACTCCATAAAGTTCACACAGGTCCACCACTCCAGCCTGTCCAGGTCCCTCTGGATGGCATCTTCCTTCCCTCCAGCGTGTCCACTGCATCACACAGCTTGGTGTTGTCAGTGCACTTGCTGAGGATGCACTCAGTCCCACTTTCTGTGGCTAAGAAAGATGTTAAACAGCCCCATCCCAATACCAACTCCTGAGGAGCACCACTTGTCACTGGTCTCCACTTGGACATCGAGCCATTGGCTGCAACTCTTTGAGTGCAACCATCCAGCCAATTCCTTATCCACTGAGTGGTCCATCTGTCAAACCCATATCTTTCCAATTTAGAGACAAGGATGTCGTGTAGGACAGTATCAAATACTTTTCACAAGTCCAGGTAGATGATATCAGATGTTTTTCCTTTATCCACCAATGCTGTAATCCCATCCTAGAAGGCCACCAAATTTGTCAGGCACAATTTGCCCTTATTGAAGCCATGTTGGTTGTCACCAATCACCTCCTTATTTTCCACGTGCCCTAGCATAGTTTCCAGGATGATCTGCTCCATGATATTGTCAGGCACATAGGTGAGACTGACTGGCCTGTAGTTCCCTGGGTCATCTTTTTTTTCCTTTTAGAAAATGGAGGTTATTCAAATAATGCAAACATTTGTCTATATTTCAATGGCTTTGTCTCTCTTCTTCCACCAACATACAGTCTTACCCTGGCAGTATTCTGTCATAAAATAATTTGTTTTACTTGAAATCAGATTATCATTATTGGGGAAAAAAAATACCATAAATTTGAGGCCAGAAAATGTACAAATCATAGCATTATTTTATGGGTTATAAAGTGCAGTTTTGCAGAAAGTATTTGATTATCATTATTGATTATTTTTTTAACCATAAATCTGAAGCCAACCAATAGATATTTTGTTTTGATGGTATTTCAGGTGATAAAGTTTCATTATAACAAATTACTGTTACAGAGATTTAGTAAGAAGATGTAGACCTGGATGACATTATTATAGTGAAATCTGTAAAAGAGCTAGAATGAAGAGAAAAAATATAAATGCCAAAAGACAAATACAGTGAAGAAAACACTGTAGTAAGTCAGTGTCTTAATATGTAAGATTTATTTGCCTGTGGAAATAGGTTTGTAGTAGAAGAAAAATAAGAAATTCAGTGCTGGATTAGCTGGCAGTTGATGATCAAAGCATTGTATGCCAGAAGATCCAGTTGAGTCAAGAGAAGAGGAAAACAATATCCTGCAACAAAATACATTTTCCTAAAGATCAGTAGTTGCTGTGACAAGAGTGAAAGGTCAGATACATGTTTTTAAATATGATTCAGTTATGATTAAATATGCTACATCTGTGAACTTCTGCCTAAGACACTTTGAACAAGAGTAGAGGATAATGGAAATACTGTCTCAAGTGAAAGACACTTTGTCAGGAGTATTAACATACAGAAATTTTTCTACTCCACATTAGGGGAAAAATTGGGAAAAGAGCTAGATTTGGACACTGTAATAATTTAGAAATGGGTGTAGCCTACATGCATTATAGCCTTTGCACCAGAAACTTAACTTGAAATCGGTACTGAAGCATATATTGCATCTTGAGATAAGTGGTGTGACCACAAATTGAGAATTCTGATGAGGGACATACCTTTAAAGAGGAGTAGAAACATTTATACTTCTTCTAAGGTCATTTTCCTATATTAAGAAAGCAGTACAATTTTGAAGAAATTCCAAATTTCAAGTATCATCTTCCATGCAAATGGGTGCTTCTTGGCTTTAGTAACACAATACATACTGATGCAGTTTTCATCTTTTCAGTGTCTTTCCAGTTTTTCTGGGTGTCATTTCAGTCTTAAAGAATAAGAAACAAGTGTCTGACTATCGTAAATTCCCCTGTTTCATCTATCTCATTTAACATAGGAATAGGATAGGATAAAATGTCATATGGAGAGACTGTTGCACATCTTGGCTCATTTCTTGGCATCAGTTCTACTTAGGCTTTATCAAATTAGAAGAAAGCATAATCCCGTTATCTTACTGAGTATAAGGCAAATTTCTTCCTGACTCTCATACATAATTAGTCTATTCCAAAGCACTTTGTGTGATTTCTTTTTTATGACTGTCTTATCTATTCTATTGACAATTTTGTATGGTAAGGACCAATGTTATCTGGGTTATTAAATCAAGTTACTGTCTGGAATCTCTCCAACAAGTATCAGAGTAAGTGGTAGAAAGTATATATTAAAATAATTCTCTTTTTTTTTCTGAAACTCTGAAGTGGGAAACTAAATTTTTTTTTGAGAACAAAAAATTAAACCTTTGAGAGCAATGATTTGGAAAAAATCTCTTTAAAGGTTTTAGAAATGTTGAATATGGTATGGGAAACTATCTTCTTTACAAGTTTATCGTTACTCTGCCTTTAATATTTGCAGTTGTTCTAGAGAATAAACAGAATGGCAGTTGAAAATTCTATCATGCAAAAGCATTCTCTCACTGTAGCAGCACAAACCTATTCATTTTGTGACAGTCTATCAGCCAGTTCAAGAAGATCATAGCCTCATCCCAGACGACTTCTCTCAAGACTAAAAAAAAAAATGCATCCACTACCCACAATGCTTGCAAATGCTTTCTACCAAAAATGAAAGCTGTTGGTATTGTCGCTTTCAAAAGAAATATGAGAGAGCAGCAGTCTCAATTTGCATACTTTTTCGGATAAGCTTTTTAAAAGGTAGAATAATAATAATTTGTGAATCTAGAAATTGGAGAGGAAGAAACAGATGATTGGGAATGGCCTTAATATCTTCCAGTTTTTTTCAGATGATCACAAATCCTCTGGAAATAATCCTGTCTATAAAAGGATATATTGCCTCCTTTTATTCTCTGAAAGGAGGGAAAACAAAGATGTTTCTTCAAAGGCAAAAGTGAAGCAGTCCTTCGAGAATAGATTGTTTGACATAACAATACAGCGCATTAGTGTGTTACTATGTAAAACGTTGGATTTTTCATCTTCTGTCTCAAGGTCTTTTAAAAAGAAAAGAAAGTGAAGATACCCTTTTGAAAGAGGATGAAAAGGATAAAAAAGCTCTACCTTTTCATGACAGAACTGACTGTTCAAACCATATAGGCTTATCTAGATTTTTCAAGCCATTCTTTGAGTTCTGAGGAGAGGGGCTCTGAGGAGGAGGACAGCGGTGGGGGACCCTCCTGAAAGCATCAAAAACCCACGGCAAAACCTCAAGGCTTGAAGGCAGAAGCCCAGGGAAGAGGGAGAGCCTCTAGTCGCCTCCCCCCTGAGCGGGAAGAGTGAGCTGCTGCTGCTGAGGGCAGAAGGGACTCAGAGTGGGCAGAGACTGGAGTGACGACGCCCCATGCCCCTCATGGACAAAAGCAGCCCCCAGGGAGCG